GATTTATATATATACAATATATGGAAAGAGTGATTTAATACAAATATGAGTAATACGAATATGCACATTAAATACGGGTATTAACAATCTTTTGTATTACTCGTAATAGTGGAAGTCAAATATTTTTAATATACCAGTCTTATTGTTATTTCTTCGATCATGTTAGCTTTAGAAAGGTTAAGAAAAATTAGAATGGACCGAAATTACCAGATAATTTATTAATGGTGACAAAGAATGGTACAAGGTCTGATTTTAGCTAAGAATGGATGCTAATTTTAGAGCAGGTTTTACTCCAACATTAATTCATGTTTACTTAAGACTCTTTCGTATGCATACATTGAATAATTTTTACCATCGAATGATACTCTAGTCTAATGGCATATTCAGATAAGTTGTAATCATCTATCTAAAACTAAACTTTTTTTTCAAATTCTATTTTCGTTTTCATGATCAACGTATTGGCTATCAGAAAGGAAATTTCGTTTGCGTTGCACGATCTCAATAAATATACCGGTATAAGATTGTGTACACATATATACAATCTCGTACCGGTATATTTGAGATTGTATATATATTACTTATGTTATATCATATATATATCGATAGCTATTGCAGACCAAAACATTCAGTATATGAGTGTATTGCAGAGATATTTGTAAATATATCTTATTGATAACACATCAATGAATATGTGGGTTCATTAATGGTACATTATAAATAATAAATGCATTGAAATTGACTTTTAACGATATAAGATAATGCGACACATGTTATTATTATCAATGCCTTTTACTACTCTATCTTTAATTAAAAGTAAAATTTCTAACAGGCTTATGTCTTGAAAATTGTATTGATAGTGCGGTTAAAAAATAGGTGAGTAAGCTTTTATTTTTAGCATCTAATCATTCTGATACGATGGGGGTGATTAGTAGAGGCTGGAAATGAGCTGTAATTTTTTGGATTGATTATTACGTAGATCTTACAATCGAATTACTAAGGTTAATCATGCAATATAGACTAGAATAAGTTAATTTTTTTACTACTGTACTCGATAATTCTTATCGAATTCAGTTCCTTAAGTTATACTACATTAGTCTTTTCTTCAACGGTTTTATTATTACCTGAAGAATAGTTTAAATCTATTTCGTTTTAAATAAAAAAATATAACGGAACTACTTGACGTATCTGGTAACCTTATTTGATCGAATATAATTACTTAAAATTACTATTATGCGTATCTTCATTTAATTATTTGTAATCAGACAATTATCAAAATAAAAATGAAAGTTGATTTTATATAATGTCTGCAGCTTTATTTATCACCTGGCTTTATCGTCAGAATTAACTGTATCTTGGCTTTATTATTTTTCAAGCCGGTGGTAAATTCTAGGCAATCGATTACACCTGTATCATTATTCATATTATACTTATTCAATTAAGGATAGAAGCAATAACCAGTAGGATACAAAATGGTTAAAATTTTAAGACGAACTAAGTGTATTCAATTGAAATTTTGATGTGTAGCAGATATTTTGAAGAGCAGCTGCTGTAATGTAGTTATGAACGTATCATTGAATACTGTACAATATCATCCAGCTTAGTAGTTTGCCAGAGGAAGAGAACTGTTCGTCTAAGGTTCCGTCTCGCTTCTTAGGAGACTGTCTGAATCGGATCATTTTCTTTGGCTATCTTCACTATTCAATCATTCGAAATTGCGCAAATTTGTTTAGTTTTAATCTTTATCGTCAAATTGACTAACTCATCATAGAATACATGTCTTAGTAGGATATCTTCTTTATTAATTATCTCTACTATCTGATCCATAAGTATTATAAATATTACATCAATTGGCATAGTAGTCTTTAGCATGAAGATCTTTTCTGAATCTAATCGATCCATTTTATCCTTATAAATTGATCAAGTGCTATAGTATTGGATATATAGTATTATCTATTGATAACGTGAACATCATTTAATAAATGACCGATATTTGAGAGTCTTTACGATATAAAATTGCCTATTCTACCAGTCTCTTTATCTATGCTTATTATTTACTAGCTTTGGTCTTATTAGGCTCGGTGCTTTGGCACTAGTCTGAGATATCGTTAGCAACTATCATATTCTTAATATTTGTTTGATGTACCGTAGCTTATTTCTTGTTATTATAGCAAATTTTTGTTCATAATTAAATCTATTGTATCATAGGTATGTGATGAATATAGACATAGCTGATAGCAGTAGATTGCCTGTCTAGATAACCTCCCAGAAATCTAAAACTTTATTTTAGTTTATTATTTAGTATTGAATTTAAATTGCAAGTCAGTGTTACCTTAAATAATTCTGTCTAAAAGTTTTCCAGAGTTAACTATCCATATGGAAGAATGCTATTCGAATAGTTATGGTTTCATTACTAAGCAAGAAATCTTTGTATGGAATTTTATCCTAAATCGTAGTATTGTGATTGCATTATCCAGTTTCATGTTATTGTAATGAAGTGATTAATGGGCACTAGCTTAAAACTATTACCATTTTTTAGATAGGGAAAAAGTCTGCTATAAAATTTCAACGTTGTGCTGGCGTGAATCCTACTATTATTAATTAATCGGTATTAACAAAGTAGCTGCTGTAAGATAGTAGATTCTATAAATAAACGGTAATTTGTTCATTAAATTTCAAATAGTACAGTAAGTATAACCTGAAAGAAATAACCATAAAGATAGTTATGATATACTGTAATGATTGTACTAGTATCTTATTGATTACTAACTATAATGTCTTAACTTAACGAGCCATTTCTAATTACTACACATTTAACAATCGAGGTTGAAATATTTTTCACGGTCATTGATTTATAATTATTCAGCTTTTTTGCGATAAATACGATTATGATATTGGCAACGATTTTAATTTTAATAGATCTTATTGATAACTAGCCATAATATTTTAATTTAACCAGTCATCTCTTATTACCACACATTAACGATCGAAATTGAAATATTTTTCATGTTCGTTAATTCTTAATTATTCAGCTTTTTTTGCGATAAATGCGATTATGATGTCGGCAACGATTTCAATTTTTAATAGTATCTTGTTGAATACTCGCCATAATGTTTAACTGAATGGGTAACCTGTAATTACTACTCATTAAGAATAATCGAATAATCGAAATCAAAATATTTTTCATAATCATTGATTCCTACTACTGAGCTTTTTGTGACAAATACGATTATGATATACAGTAATAATTTTAATACAGCTGTATCTTATTAAATACTAGTCATAATACTTAAATTTAACTGGTAATCTGCAATTTTTACATGCTAACAATCGAAATTGAAATATTTTTCATGGATTTGCTGATGTTTTACGTATTGAACATTGTATGACAAATACGATTATGATATACGGCGATGATTTAATAGTATCTGTTGAATATTAGCTAAAATACATTTAACTTATGGGTAATCTCTAATTACTATATTGAAGAAATTAATATAATAATCGAAATTGATATATTTTTCATGGTCGGTGATTCTTACTTTATTAAACTTTTTATAATTAATACGAGTGGTAGTTAAGAATTAATTCATGAAACGGTTGGAAATCGGAAAGTCTTGTCCTAGTTTTTAAGTCTATGAGATGTGATCTCGCAATTAAAAGGCCAAGAAAATAATAGATGCTCTAGATGTTATTACGGATAAAAATAAAGCTGTACGAGTACAGAATGTTTTTTGATACCTGCGGTGTTTGAAGAACATGTTATACTCTTATATTTTTAAATATAGTTTTTAGACAAATAGATTATTGCTAATTTGGATTAGCCCTCTTACAGCTTATGCTTGCAATATATCATTGCATAAGCCTTTAATATTATTATAAATGTTGTTCAATGTCCTTTAATCTGGTATAACGAAGCAATAACTATCTTCCTTCGTTTAAAGATAATATCTCTATTAGTCGACAAAGTCTAATGTGTGCGAACAACGAAATTTTTTTATTACACGATTATACATATCGAAATTAACATTTCTAATCTAACCTTAATAATAATTAAATCAGGGTAGAAAGAGTTATCCAAGACTGCGTAATTGTTAACTTCATTAATGATGTAATTTTAATATCTTAAGATAGATATAGAAGTTTTCATTTTCAGACTGAATTTTCACCTAATCGAAACAATTGTATACACAATATGTAACACATTGAATATAGCTTGAACTTATTACTATTTCTTTCGTTTGCGGTAGCTACACGTACACTACTAGGCAAGTTATGATAAAGATTGTAAGCGAAGTTTAACAAAGATGAATATGAGATTCCTCTCTTATCATAGTGTTGTATCGGTATTTATTTTTCACCACTGTACAAGACTGGTCATTATCAGTCACAACATTTCAATTCTAGTTTTAAAGTTTTTAGTAAACTGTCGTTAGAACGTTCAATTTAATATGAGTACGAAAACTTTAAATAGATATTACTGTATTCGTTGGTAAAGTCCATGAATAAATAGGGCTACGCTGGCATATCATAACCGTTACATAATATTATTTCTGAATTAATAGAATTAAGTCGATTTTTGTGTATATTGCGATAAAACAAAATACAAGCATCATGATCGCTTTTATGTAACAAACGATTGATATTGAATAAATAATAAGTGCCAACGACGCCCTTGGAACTTCCTATTAAAACTTTTACAATAAAATATTTTCTTCATAGCCTACATGCAATTCAGACTGGTGTGATCAAGTGTAAATAAGGAACCAATCCATGTGAACTAGAGGCAGTTTCAAGCAAGGTCAAAGATGTGCACACTGTACAATATTGCTGATCAATTTAAACTGTTCAAAACGTTACAATCGCTAGTAATCATGATTGGTCTAAGTACATGTTGAGCGAATCATTCCTGAATAAAAATATAGATCATTTCTGGATATGACTTGGTCACTCAACTCTATACTATTTTAACAATTGGAAGAAACGATAACAGTGAGAAACTTTTAACAAAATTTTTGGATTTTAAGGAAAAAGTTTTTATCAAGTGAAGAAATCAAATCCCTAGCGGATTGGTTACGATTATTTCGGTAATCCAATGAAGCACCAAAATTTCTGAGAAGTTCAAATTTTGATACATCGGTCGACAGATTTAAATCTTTTTGACGCAAAAGCAACATCAAAGGAGGGTCTCCAACTTCGCTATTATCACAAAAATTCAAATTTTCAACTCTAGATATTACCCGTCGTAATTCGCCTATGGAGGAGTTTCTATTCTTGATCGCATCGATTACTTTCCGTTCCCTAAGGCCAACATGCCTAAGTGGTGGACTGTAATTAATACTTGCGTTAGTGGAATAATTTGGAGTTTCAGATTTTTGACTTGATACACCACGCGATTGACCTGGTTCTCTTTCGGATACTGGAGTGCTTACTTGTTCTGGATTACTTGATGTGGAATTAGCTGAATTTGCCGGGAATTTAATCATATCTAGAACGTTTGATGGATGCTTTGTAGCAAGCTGCATTGCAGTCTCACCTCTATTGTTGGTGGCTGTCCAAGAAGCATCATAGCTTAGTAAAATTTTAATTTTCGGAATATCTGTTTCTAATTTTAGTACGTCTTTTCGTAATAACATCATGAGTGCTGTATCACCTTTTTTACCAGAATTTCTACAGTTAATGTTTGGTACATTATTCACAGCTTCTTCAAACTGAGGTAGCGAATAAGTATCTCCACTCACTGCTGAAAATACCTTTTGCATCTCTGGTGATACAGAGTAATTTTCCAGCGGTTCGCTTAATGGCACTCTTTCATCTATATCAACAGGTTGAATCTTCCTTAATCTATCGATGACAGCACTATCATGTTTGCGAGCGATTATATTTGCAGATGCACCCTGATTGTTTGTTGCAGTCCAAGAAGCACCAAGTCTTAAAAGGACTTCAATTTTCGGTATTTCGTCGTCACTTCGTAAGTGAGTCTTTCGAAGGAGTAACATTAACGGTGTATCACCTACTTTACCGCTATTCCTAGCATTGATGTCTGGCAGGTGGGCGACGTACTGTTTAAATTGTAGTAGGGTACAAGTTGATCCACTAATAGCGGAAAATACGCGTTGTTCTTTTGGTGTTACTGCGCTACGTGGATTATTGAAAGATACATTGCCTAGAAGTATCAATATAAATATACATATATCCTAGTTAGATGCTTTCTCTTTGGCTAGATCTACTGAACACAATCTACGTCACCGATGTACTGTACCCTTGGCTAAATGTGTTGCGATTATTGATGTCGATGGACAGATTAATACATAGTCAAGCTCACCTGGACTGCTCAAGTTATCACGTTTAGGTGATTGGTATTCTCGCTCTTGAGATTTTTGCATCATTTCATTTTGTAAAAGTTGCATTTTGCGTGCAGCTTCAAAGGATGATGGTAGGCTTTCGTCAGCGGTATCCGTCGTCGTCGTCGTTACAAGAGGATCTTTCAATTCTTGGCTATGTTTCCCTCCTTCAGTATCGAAATGGTGCGTGATGGGATTTTGTATGAATCTTTTGTGGATATGAAAATTACTTTCATTTTCTTTTGCTGATGCATTCCTGGATTTGCTGCTATCAACACGACCATCAATGTATGTGGTAACATAATTGAGCAAGTGCTTTTTAATACAACGTGCAAGAGTATCCCAGCTGCCATGCATGACTAAGACACCCACAAAGGCCTTTAACTTTCGGTTTAATATTGAATTGGTAAGCCCTTGACCATCCCAATTAGGATTGAACTGGTGGATGATTGTTGTTGAACCGATCGCATCGAATAGTTGTTGAAATACGATTCGATCACTGGCCAAAGCATTGACTATAGAACTTTGATCAGATGTAGGATAATTTGGATCCGTAATCATATACCATTGCAGATAATGTCAGTTCCATCAATTTATCACCAATCAATGCAAACATACTTTCCGTGTCCTGATAGTCCGATCCACTGTTGAGTTGGAGTATCTTTTGGATGTCTGTTGTAGCAGAAGTGCTAAGTCGTGTTTCAAAGGCATGTTGTATCAAATCCATACTACAACCAATATCGGCTGTCTACATGTACTATCATTGATTAATTTTCTTGAATGTGGATTATTTTTTTCTCCTCTGCCTGTCTGCATACAAATAACAAGGGTCATGATTAACTATCCATGTAGGCCGTAATACCGATAATCGTGCATGATGACTCAACATGACATTATTGCAATGCTACTGCGAGCTAATTTACCTTATTGCAAGCGAGGTAAATTGGAATTTTTATTTTCTTTCTTCCAACACTGCTGCTGCTGCTATCCAGTACAGTAATGATGGCGTAGATGCACTGCTTGCTACGGGGAAAAGGCAATCTTGATGTTGTACGCTCAATACTATCACTTGGGCTCTTTTAGGCTTAGTTAAAGCAAACCACGCATACAGATGAAAGTTCTGCAACTTTCTTTCCCTCGTGTAATTTTCCAAACTGTTTTAAATTGTCAACCAAAGCTGCAAGTTCAGTATTTTCAAATGACAATACTGAATGAGAAACGGTTATCCGGTCCGGTACGGCGCGGTCCGATACGGTACTGTAGTAAACACTGTAACGGTACAGTGTACAGTACACTACAGTACTGTACACTCGCCGTGGAGAGTACTGTAAGCGGACCGACCGTTGGCGGATCCCTAATTCTGAACTTGAACCTGAACCGGACAGACGCAAGGACCCTCGAAGCGGAGAACCTGACTTGAATCGGTTGGTATGCGGTTGGAACGGAACCTCTGACCGGTCTAGACAATCTTCAACAATTTGGCATTCGCATGGAGAGAGCGAAATTGTTGCCAAATCATAACATTAGAAAAGTCCTTACATGGATATACACCAACGAGTACACACGAGGAGACAACGCCATGTCTCTCCCTCTTTGGCAGTGGAGAATACAAATGGGGAGTCAATATGTCTCTTTGAGAAGTAAATCATGGTCGGATAGCCAGCATGCTAATGCTCCTAGTCGCCATGTAAAAAACGAACACACTCGCCCATTTCTGCTTGTGCTTGTCTTATGATCATTCGTCATTACTACGGTAGTATCTCTATTTTAGGCTTGACTGATCTCAACCGCATGCTTTAAAAACATACTGTAGACCAACGGTAGTTGTAGTTCAAGTCTCTTGATCTATAGGATATCTCAGGGACTTGCACTTACTACTGTAGCGTCTCTATTTTAGGCTTGACCGATCTCAACCGCATGCTTCAAAAACATAGACCAACGGTAGTTGTAGTTCAAGTCTCTGATGATCTGATCTATACAGTATAGGATACCTCTGGGATTTGCACTTACTACTCTAGCGTCTCTATTTTAGCCTTGACAGATCTCAACGGCATGCTTTAAAAACATAGACCAACGGTAGTGGTAGTTCAAGTCTCTGATCTATAGGATATCTCAGGGACTTGCACTTACTACTGTAGCGTCTCTATTTTAGCCTTGACTGATCTCAACCGCATGCTTTAAAAACATAGACCAACGGTAGTTGTAGTTCAAGTCTCTGATGATCTGATCTATAAGATACCTCAGGGACTTGCACTTACTACTGTAGCGTCTCTATTTTAGCCTGGACTGATCTCAATCGCATGCTTTAAAAACATAGACCATCGGTAGTTGTAGTTCAAGTCTCTGATGATCTGATCTATAGGACACCTCAGGGACTTGCACTTACTACTGTAGCATCTCTATTTTAGCTTTGACTGATCTCAATCGCATGCTTCAAAAACATAGACCAACGGTAGTGGTAGTTCAAATCTCTGATCTATAGGATATCTCAGGGACTTGCACTTACTACTGTAGCGTCTCTATTTTAGCCTTGACAGATCTGAATCGCATGCTTAACATTGCTCAAGAAGATATATCTGATATTGATGAAGCAGTGTCAACAAGTACATTACTCTCCACGATTGAAACCAGTAAGAGAAAATCAAATAACCCTGAGTCACACAGTCCGTCGGCAACACAACTGCTTGAAGGACTAGCATCCCATGATCGACTCGTATACTGTACAACCATTTCAACGTATTGCAAGTGGAGTCTGCAACCACATTGTTGCAGTAAGCCAATCCCTTTAAAGCACGGATTCTTGAATCAACGCTATACTTATTTTATTCAGAAATGGATCCACTGTCAATAACTTGCAACTACTTCAATTCATTTTTGCCATACGTATACTGAATAGATGCACTGTACTGTATAAACGTACAACAACAGTACGACTCAATATCCTCCTCAAAATGATCCATTTCCTCTCGCTATAATGCATCTGTCAACGTTTCCTTTTATTAATACATTTTAGAAAGTCAAAGCATAGACACGGCTTCACTATTCCATATCAACCTACGTACAGACCGTGCAAAAGAAGGTATAGATAATTTTGTAATCTTTAAATTGAACGACTACTTTGACAGTTTCAACACCTACTTTTCGTCAATATGCTTCCATCATTTACAACAGATCGAAAAGCAAACGAAACCGCTGTGAGATTATAGCATTTTCATGGTTTCAATCAAACAACTTTCACCGTGATATTAAACTTAATATTGCTAATATACAGAGTATGGTAATAAACCAGGCTCGATCACATTGTTCGTCCTCAATCAGCTAATTGTTCCAACTGGTCAGGGTCGTCTGCTATAATCTGATTAATCTTTCGACCAAAATGTTTCTCTATCGACTTTAAATTATTGAAAGATCGGTCAGAATCCACGAAATTAATAGCAATACCTTTCTTTCCAAAACGACCAGTTCTACCAATACGATGTAAATAAGTCTCGCAATCAGGGATTCCACGGCCATCAAGAGGCACATCGTAATTGATGACAACAGACACTTGCTCCACATCAATACCACGAGCACATACGTTAGTTGTTACTAAAAGTTTTTCTTTTCCACTTCTGTACCTATCAATGACAAACATACGCTCTTCAGGAGAATTGTCTCCCGTTAACAAAGCCACAGCGTGACCATCTTCTTTCATCTTCATAGCTAACCATTGCGCAGATTTTTTAGTCTAGACGTAATAAAACCACATCATACATTATCTCGGTAGCAGCACTATAAATCGCAATCTACTGTAGTGGCTTACATGACAAAAGACCATGGCTTGGCCGATGCTAATAGTTCCATAGATATTAGATAGTGCTTCGAATTTTTCTTGTCGGTCTTGACACCGAATATAAAATTGTTTAATGTTGCTTAAGCTTTCTTCACTACGTTTTAATCTGATAATAACGGGATTTGGAACGATGGATTCTGCAAATTTCATGACACGATCTTCGTACGTCGCGGAGAACAAGAGAAATTGAGCACTTTTCTTCAAGTGCCTAGACGTTCAAGTCTTTCATTTAGTATTACTTGTATAGCCAACGATTTGCATCGATAATACCGATCCAGTTTATTCAATTTAGTCTTCATAGCACTATACTCCCTACCTGTGCACCTTGATTGATTGATCACGGTGGCCTTGTGTATCAATCATTACATCCGCTTCGTCCAAAACAAATATACCCAACTTGCTAGGATCAAATAATTTCAGTCTAATCCAGTCCAAAATTGTACCCGGAGTACCAATAATGATTTGCTCTACCTTCTTTTCCCTTCGTCTACCTAAGGGGAGCATGTGTAAACTGGTTACGCTTCGCTATTATCGTCCACGTTAACTAGATCATAATATTTACCATGCTCTTCTCCTCTGGTCGCCATTGCTATTTTAATATCTAAGAATTTACTCATTTGTTTACAAACTTTACCCGTTTGCTGTGCTAATTCTAACGTTGGTGACAAGCAAAGGGCCTAAATTGTAAAATATGGAAAGCATGAGAACGCCACGTTAATCCAAGAGTAGAAACTAGTAAATCTGCTTTGCCTGAGGATATTCTTTGTTTGGATCAATTCGACTGATCATCGTTAATACAAATGCGGCAGTCTTTCCTGTTCCCGACTGTGATTGTGCAATCATATTCGACGGCCTGGGAAGGATCAATTTACAAAGAAAATAGTTAATACAATCCAATGATGTCAACAAATTAGAGATATTCGATTGCTTTTACTTGGCTCCTAAAAGGAGTGGCAAAGCGGTTTCTTGAATTTTGGATGGAGTGTTGAAGCCCATGCCGTATACACCCTTCAGAACAGCTTCTGCCCTGAAATTGTTATCATTTAGTTTAAATGATGTTCTTTGTTACCGTTTCAAAGGTCTGAAAAGATATTACGTGGCTTACAAATTTAATTCCTCAAAAGATTTTACGGAATATAACGGAGAATTTGGATCTTGACGCTGAACTTCAATGTCAGCAGTAGTGCTAACGAGCTTGGAGCGTAAAACTTTATTTAAAAGAGACATTTCTGCTGATGAAATTCCAGCATCATCCTCAGTAGAGGTTGAAGCAGTGTCTGAATCTTTCCCTGCTTTTTACCATTGTTATATAAAATTCAATTAGCTCTTTCCTTCCACCTACTGCATATCAAACTATCTATCAATGCAAGATACTCACCTGTAGCCGAGCTGGTTGTAGGTTCATCGGCCTTCTTTTTCTGCTAAAAAAAAAAGACAACGTAATAGTATGAGATATCATTCTTGCTATGTAGCTGATTTCACCTTGCTTAAAATTAAAATGAATGGATGGATTAATTATTCAAGGGTCAATTGAAAAATGTGTGTGGTGATTATGACATAATCGATACCACAGTAAGATACAGTGTAAGGTGTGCATGACTAAATGATCAGTTAACAATTATAGATTTATCCTTTCTTTACAAGTTGAGGGTTCAAACTTGTATCTCTTTGACATGGATGTTACACATCCAAAATGCAATCTACTAGGATGGTTTACTTAGCATCTTGTAAGGATTCAAGGAAGTCTAATTCACACTCTTACGTACTAACGTAGCTCCTAGACCGGCTGCACATGTTGCCGCCTGGTTTTATATTGCTCTCTAGAGATTATTGACTCATGATTGTACTTGTTATGATCAATCAAGTCAAGAGCTCTCAATATTAATGCTTTTGGTTATAATAGGATAACCATACTAAAGCATTGACTAAAAGCGTAGCTCACTGCAAAAAATTGGACCATTATTCGTGTCGGCGCATACACTGTACATTAGATCTTGCCCAGGGTTAGTCAAACTACAACTAATGAAAAAAATTGAGACGCGGTTAGTCGGATAACATCGACGTAGGTAAAATACCGTAAAATGCATAGTCAATGATCGAGATATCCATTGAGTGACCTTCCTTTCGGCTTGATTAACTATTAAACATAACGTTGAAGAGACGAATTCAGCTATAATGAAGTCACTACCATATTTCACGAAATGCCGAAAATATTGGAAAGTCTGTGGCGAATTTTGGCATCCATAGTGGATAGGGTTTCTATGAATTCTGTAGTACTTAACTGCGATTCTTTGCTCAATCATTTTACGATAATTGCCTTCATGGATCATTTGTAGTCATTCCATCGCATGATGATCTTGTTTACTGATAATGAAATGATGCGATCAGTCCGCGTAAAATGAGCAGCTATGAGGGCATTTGGCAGGCATTGAATTGACTATCGAGTACCGGCGAACATCTTAAGCGTCTACTCGTGCAATGTTTGTGCGTGTTATCAGCGGAAGCAAGGCGGCCAAGAAGGCAAAAACATGCTCGAGTCACATGGCAGTAATTTAAAATCCTGAAGGTGACTAGTTAGGTCGCTTAACTTGAATGAATGGTAGCAAAGTGCGAGCTAATTCATCCATAAGCGGTAGATTTCATGTATTGGCTGTTGCATGTAAAGTCCATAGGGAAATCTCGATCGAACTATTATGAATCCTTGAGTCAAAGGCCTTGACTGTTCCGATTAACAACGACTGCATCTATTACAAGAACACGGTCGTAGCACGCCTTTAGTAGCAAATTAAAGTCTAGAGTTGGATGTCATGCCCAAGTAGACTGCTACATTTTAACGATATTGATTGAGAGTTTGTAGGGATGCACCATGATCTGCTGCTATCTTGTCCGATTATCACAAGACGGAAATCAGCTGCTCTTGAACTACCTGCTTGCTTTCAATCGCCTTATTCGTCGTAGCGGTCACTGGACAAGAGACAATGTTGGTCAAAAGGATCGATAGTATCCTGCTTCTGCTTATCCACATCCACTCGATCGAATGAAATCAACGTAAAGTGTATACTATACTCGGGAAAAATTCAATTTTACTACAACAGTTTATGGACAGTAAGGTATCTTCATGGACTATTTTCAATTTAGAATAATATCCCACACAGTATCTTCCCATCGACTAGTCCTATCATCACGGCCCCTATTGGTACCTAGTCGATTTTTACAAGCGAATCGAATTGAAATTATCATCGGGTTGCATTCTGGACTCTACAGCTGTAAATCCTTTCGGTAAAATAGGTTCCAAAAAAATAACAGCCATGACTAGCATGGTGTTATGATCCTGTAAGCGATGGCCCCTACTATCACGCGCTTAAATTGTTTCAAAATTGGCAGACAACAGCGCCTTGTACAGTCTTGCGATGGCATTTGAAATATGCATCATGCTTTATCAAGAAGATACCTCGTTGGATTTGGCTTGTTCATCTTGCTTACGAGCTGCTAATCCCCAGTCATCATCCATGATATGAATCAGTCTACTTGGCTATCGAATGCAATAGAATAAATTGGATTCCTCCAGCAGTCAAGGCAGGCTATCTTACGTTATAGTGGATAAAATGGAAAGCTGGCAGTGGTGGAAGTGAGAAGGAAAATGGCTTACACACGCTGGCCAAGATTTCAAATTGTTGCGGGCTCGTTGTGAGTCGCACAATGAAGTGACGTGACGGTCCAGGCACGGACCACTTGAAAGTAGGCATACTGGACAGCACACTACTGTCCTGTACTGTACTGCAGTGGGCATACAAAGTGTGTCATCAGTCTTTCACCAGGGTCAACACTGTTAGTACCATCACGTCAAACGTAACGATCCGAAACGATCCGAAACGTCTACAATGCTGCTATTGAGATGATGTTGCAGTTGCAGTGAGATGACTCATGCGTGATGCTGCAGAACTGGATTCTGTATGATCGAGTTGCTGCAGCGATGAGTCAGCTCGGTGGCGATTGGTCATACTAGTACAGTATAACGTGCAATGCTACATGCGTATCAGCACTGTGTACAGTATGCAAAAATGATCCTAGCCACTAGCTCCAGTCAACTCCAGTTGTCATAGGAACGGGAGACGCCTCTCAGCCAGGCTCCCATTGCACCTGCAGAGTGCAGACTACGGCCATCAACGATCATGGGAAACCATTTCCAAATTTTCAAATTGAATCTTAATAAATACTATCAACATAACTACTGATTGAGTACTGTTATTCATACGGAGTAAGCAACCTCATACTTTGGCCAATCAACACGGAATAGTATACCATCGACTGCTTGATATGGGTAGAATATTTCTGTATACTGTAGAAGCAATTAATCTACTGTATTGACCATTTTCCCTATTTGCAGTCTTATTGGACAACGGTCAATATCCATATTACAACTTTAGCTTATGTTGCTATAAGATTAAAGTTATAGCCAACGATTGCTGGTTCTATTGGTGATATTTTCCACCCACCCACAAAGGCAACATGATTGAGCCCAGGATGTACTTGCTTGACATCTGAATTGATTATATTGGTCAATGATTGAAGAACTTCCTTTTACGCGTATGCTAGACTTGAGGAAAATTATTTGCCAATCGGAATATTTAAATTTATTCTTGGCTGTGAATATAAGAAAGAAGTACAGGTTGTCAATGAAATAATGGAAAAAAAGAAGGTATTTATAACTTATTTATATACTCGCAGATTAGACATGCATGGGGACGGGTAGGGACAATTTATACAGAGAATTCTAATCTCGAATATTAGAGGCATACAAAGAACGGTTGTGATTATGATAATGAACTACAAAAATACGCAATACAGTCGCGGACTGAGATTGATAAACTGTCAATGATTTTTAAATATGAAATAGATATATGGACGAGTATACCCTATCTTATGGTTGACTAAAATAGGTTGATTATGTATCATTGTGACTCTGTCTATCAATAAGTTAGGCGTAGTGGGGTATTAACGTTCCTCCTAAACTGCATATATGGCCAAGCTTAATATGCCAGTGGTCACTGTGAATGATCATTATGCTGTAGATATAAGCATAGCTATTCGCATTTTACTTCCCATTCTATTCTTGGAGAGGCGTATACGAGTATACTATATAATTATATACCGTCTATATTTTCCAAAGTAGTACTGAAGAGGGTGAAGTGAGAAAGTTAATCAGATTAAATTACGGTCACTACTGAAGTTTTAATTCCATACGATTGAATACCTATGAAATATGTTATAATAGCCATTAACAGCATGGTATCGAATACTATATTTGTAGCATGAGGTAGTTTATAGCTAATACCTCCTTAATATTAATTTTCCATTCTCCGTTATCAATACCACGATTTAATCAGTCGAGTAAATCTACTACGTATAGTAGCGTAGAATAAATCTGTGCTCAATAAATCAGATAAAGCACGATAATTACCGGTACCATTCCAACTCAATAAGAACTACAAGTTTAAGTCAATATAACGAGGATTAATATTTTTGTACTAGAATTACTATATTGTCAATGAAATACTACAATATAATATTTGGAAGCCTATAGATATTAATAAAACGAGTGCATTGTCTTAGTCCATATCAGATAGAACAATATTAAGTTTTCGGTTACTGAAGTATAGGGAGAGTTATGTGCGATAGCAGCAATAGTTTTTAGGATAAACGCAAATATTCTGCTATACACAGCATGTGTAGCGATATATACTATGACGGTACAGTGTGTTGTTTAATCATTATCTAAGATAGTTACGTAAAATTTTAAAGCAATAATCAGCTTTTGAAGCTAACGTATTCACTTTAGTGTTCTTTCGTATTTCTATACCTGTACAGACATCCGGTTAAGTGAGTAAATGAAACGCTTTGAGTTTAATATACTTTGGAAGCTTTTTGTAGCGATCGTTAAATGACTACAGTATTTAACAAAATTTCATATTACGGTGCCATATTTGCTATATGAAAGTTCTGCATGCCATGTAGTAGTCATCTAAAAGCGCACCAGGTCAATTTACAATGCAGTAACTCATAACATAGAACTTAAACTATTTTAATAACAAACGCAAGCTACGGTATATCATTATTATTTTATAACTAAATATTTCATAGATGTAAACTTAAATTTTGAATAAAAGTATTAGATAGAACTAGTATTATGATATGAAAATATCTTATTGATAGTAATATTGTCATTCAAAAACATTTAATTTATGATTACAGATTTTATAAGAATTGCTTAAAATAAAAAGAGTGTGATGGTATCTTCAAATCTTGGAAAGTTGTCAATTTAATTATATAAATTTTGTGGCTGCCAACTATAATGAGCTCTACAAGAAATCGACCACAATCAGCAAAGGGACGGCGACGACCTCCACCTACTAGCCTTCCTTCGTCTCCTTCATATCATCAGCATTCAAGTGAAAGGACTCATACCGCTCCTGATAATACAAAATCAGAGCTTCAATCAACCTATGTAACTGCATCAAGCAGTAAACCATTAGTTCGAGGGCTATCGCAAGATTCCGCATTGCCTAATTTCCCTCCAGCACCTGAATCAACCGCAGCGTCTCTATCTAAATATAAACGATTGCCTTCTATTGGTAACCGAGACACAGTTGACATTAAAACAGTAACACCAATTTTCCGACCGCATCCTCCCAATAGCAATGCAACAACGTCGACTTTTAAACGAAATCATTTAGCTAGAAGAGCGAGCGATCCGGTAAGCTAGATAAAATTATAACTTTATTATACTTTACCGTCATACAGTGTTTTATTCTTCTGACTAGCTGATATCATATTTATGGCTGTCAATGTTTTATTTAGAAGTCATGGCGACAAATTCCTATACCACCAGAACCAGATGATCAAGATGAAGATCGTATTATGTTAGCCGTTAAGCTTAATAATGGAAAAAGGATCGAAAGATGGTTTCGGCGAAGTAATACTTTAAATGACATCATTCGATATGCTGCTTACGCTGCCAAATCTCTTGAAGTTTTAAGTCTTATACTTGTTACTAATGAAATTCCTAAACGCGAATTTGATAATTTATCAATGACTATTGCTGAAGCGGATATAAAGCAGAGAACACTATTGTATTTACAGAGCAGATAAAAAAAAAAATACAACTTAAATAGTTCGAGGTATTTTTAAATTATGCACTGTTTCATTAAATCACTATTATTATTCGTATATATTATACTGTAATATCTTCCCTTATCGATGATCCATAATTATATTACGATTTTATTGTAAATTAGATATCTACTTTGGCAGTGTAAAATATGATGTTACCCTGAAATTTTTAATAACATTAATTAAATAAATTGCACCTTATCGTGTAATAAGATTGCAACGTAATAATGAATACTATAGTGATAGTTTAGCAAATTTGTAAATTATCTTTTATAAGATACATGGATCCAGATTTATGATCGATTAATGGTGTTTTTTACCCTGTGCGTAAATTTTGCCAGTTACGGTCTACTATTATTTAAGTAAGTACTTACGTTACTGCAAAGTAATTGCAGGAATATAGGTTAAAATATTTTAATAATGCTTTATGAATAGTCGTACAGTATAGTGCAAGTTCAATATTCTTTGGATACAAGCACAGCTATTGATGTATTGAGAGGATATTATATATGCCTGTTAATTCATTAACGTTAACTGATAATGTCAGATACCAAGAAACTATAATTCCTTAATATAGCAAGAAATCCAGATCACTTTATGAAAGATATTGGTAACACTAGTACATTACTTAGTACTGAAATAAGTTACCAAAGTGTGGAACCAAAAACAAAATATGGTACTGTTACGTTGAGATAAACTTGATACTTTATTTAAATATAAAATCTTGTATAAACTTTCAATATCTTGTTTGATATAGAATTATGTGACATGCCGTAGGAAAATTTAGAACCTACATTCATGTTTAATATATATTGACTTTCAATGGATACCTTATAAAAACCATAATTCAAATGATGTAATATAAATGAAAGCCTTATATGTACCAGATAATCTCAATAAAGTCTTGACCATGAGTATGGTCAATTATAATTAAGTAAAAAATTTTTTACAGTACTTTAATTGTCGTATCGGACGATATGAATGATCATAAAAATCAATTTGTATTGCTGGATCTGAATGATTTGTTACAATTCAATGGTAATAAGTTGGGTTCCAAAAGTCAACGAATAATGTACGTACAATGGTTAGTACATTAGAGTGCTATAAGTATACACGTTTTTCAGCTATGTGATTCAAATGATTGGGTTCCGTAAGAGTTTGTGCAATTTACGTTTGGTAATGAGCTTAAAAAATTGGCTTTTAAGCTGTGGATGAAGCGAATTGTACCGTAATTTGCACGCAATAATTAAAATATTTACATAATTCAGTAACTAGCAGTTAACTTTTTAAAAGACAGAAATGCTGCAGTGATAAAATGACAAAACCCAAATTCGTCAAGAAAAACCTTCAGATCAAGTCTTGCATAAGGTAGCATTATATGTCAAGATCATCATCTGGATCTTCTTCATCAAAGTCATCGACTTCATCTGGTTGATAAAATATTTTACCACCAGAAGATGCGGTAGGCTGACTTAATTCAGCTGCTTTACGTTCATCGCTGTAGGTATAAGGCAATTTCAAACGAGACCTTGCTTGTTTTTCTGATTGTGTTAGCTTTAAGTTGAAAGTGAGATTTTCTGTTGGATCAGACTAAAAATAACACATGATACGTAGTATCTAATTTAGACACGTGTAAAGTAACTTACACCTAGTAGAATTATTCTGTTTCAGGAATACTATGTGGTTCAGATGATTATAATACATAAGAACAAATGTAGCCTTCTGCTTACCGAAGTACTTTTATCCAATGTAGAAGATTTAATATCAGTCTGGTGATATTCAAATATCCGAATCACGAAATCATTATAAATACCATAAACTTCTTTCTAATATTGAAAAAGGCAGAAAAATTAAAATTTTACGAGATACCACTATGTCGACATACTGTTATCAACAAGAAATGCCGATTTTTAGATATCTTCCCTTATTTGAACATATGTAGCAAATACCTTATTTATTATTTTTCCAGATTTCTTGATGTGATTTGTTTTGCATAAGCCGAAATAAAATGTATTTTCTAAGCAATGTATAATTAAGATAGATTTCAATATTGCCTGCCTAATGGTGATTATTTATTGCAATGATGAAGCGATCGATTTATAACCTAAATCGTCAAATTTTAACTTGTCCTCAATACTCATTTCACAAAGGCTAATAGTTGTTGATGCGATGTGTTTCATGGCAGATATTTCATAGTCATCGTGTAGGTCAGAATGTAGTAATGCGACTATTTGAGTTATCTTAAGGTCCTCTAAAAAGTGGCGAAAAGTGATTATTTGTAATTTAAAAGAATGATGACATTGGAGACATTAGATCTACAAACTTTTTATAGTCTTTTTCAAAATTTTGAATTACCTTGATTAATGTTTGTATCTGGCATCATTAGCTGTTGTAGACTTAGGCAGACATGATTAGTAGAGTTGTGCGATAAAAATGGGCTTAAGGAATCGACTACAACAGCTACCGATGCAGCATTGGAGATATCTATTAGAAATAAAACCATGTCAGCTATTGGTTGATAAACTACTTTACTATCTTTATGAGCTCTGCATAGATTGCATCAGGTGTAGCGTTATTATATACAACTTTACTGCACGATTTGGATTTTGTAATGTTTCTGTGCATAGTTGTAAAATAATACGTAGCAATGCTCGTGGTGATTACTTTTATTTTTCTTTAGCGCATTATTAAATTGCTGATAGATGCCATCTGGTGATTGCCAGCGAATGCAATCTTGTTGGCTGCAATGGGACAAACGATAGATATTAATCTAGTTCTTATACATATTGCATAAAACCTTAACAATAATTTTTTACAATATGTATAATCGATTAACATAACGTTGATAAGTTACCCGCTATTATCCCATCCGACCACATCAGAGTAACCGTCATGTAATATAATTCTAGATATACAGTATATAAGTATAAAGTGAATATACAAGTAGTTAAAGCATTGATCGTAGGGTTGATATCAAGATCTTATTTATGATGATATCGGTAAGAATTTTTAAAATACAATTGACTGGTGTTACTTAGGAGGTAAATCTTTTATATCTTACTTATTCTTGTAACGTTTTGACGTCAAATACTGTTTGTAACTTTCGATCGCTAGATCGAGGACAAAGATATGCACAATATCGACCCTAATCGAAAATTATTTAACAATTTATTATACTGTATCCAGTAAAATGTTCCGTATAATTAACTGAGAAACCACTGTGTACATTTTCAAACTCACCTTTTAACTAGTTTTTCTATATATCCCTTAAGAAAAGCTCTCCCGTTATGTTGCAGATTATCTATGCATTGGAACAGTAAATTTTGAGTTTAAGTCGGAATTTTACCGCTCTGTACTTCAACTGTTTCATGTCATGAGTATATCGAACTGAATATATAATCTATGAGCACTAAAAAAGTGTCGATTGTCTTTATGACTGGTTAACTCCATGCAAGTGTTTCAGCAGCAGAGTAAGTACTACTAGGTATTACATACTGATGAAGGACTATCTCATTCATGTCAGCGCTTCAATTCTGGCGCTGCAGAGACATTTGCAGAACGATGTACGATAGTAAAATGAATGCTACAAATTTGAATGATTTCGTTACTGTAAACGCTAATAAGACTCCTATTAGCACTAAGGATGCCATAGTAAATTATCAAGGTATCCATTTTATGGCAGTATTGACCGTACCTACAGTTTATCAAGATTGTCATTGCTAAGAGATCAAGTTGGATGTAGGAAATCTCGGAAATCTGCACTACTTTTGTATATGTTACAAGATTAGCTACAGCTGCTCTTGATTACCTTGTATCATCACGATCTTGGAGGCTTCTGCACCAGATACAATCGAATCAGTTATTGTATTTTTAGGCATCGCTGAATTGATCTAAGTCGAAAATCGTCTGCAGAAAGCTAAAATATTCGTAGCTGGAGATGCTTAGCATCCAATGTTGGCCAGGATTTGTGTGCTATAGTGATCAGCTTCGCAGCAAGTGCTAAGATTCCTGATATAATTACTTCTATTTGTTGATACTGTATGATGGAGTACTGCATACCATCGACAGTAGTACAGTATACCGTACAGTACCTTAAATTTTATATTCAGTCATATTGTACATGTGTTGACAGTGTACTCACGACAGCGTTGAGATCCACTTGGACAGGCAGCTAGCAACTGAGCTATATATACAGTATAGGCGATTATATGTTTGCAACTATGTAGAATTGAGTCTATCTACTAGCTGATGGTGCACATTATATATAAATAAATTATATAAATGCTATATGTATAGGCGATTACATGTTTGCAACTATGTAGAATTGAGTCTATCTACCAGCTGATGGTTCACATTACAGTATATATAAATTACATAAATGCTATATGTACATTGTAGAGTATAGGCGATTACATGCTCGCAACCATATAAAATTGAGTGTGTCTACCAGCTGATAGTGCACATTATATGTAAATTTTATAAATGCTATATGTACAGGCGATTACATGCTGGCAACCATGAAAAATTGAGTCTGTCTACCAGCTGATGGTTCACATTATATATAAATTATGTAAATGCTGTATGTATAGGCGGTTACATGCTCGCAACCATGTAAAATTGAGTCTGTCTACCAGCTAATGGTTCACATTATATATAAATTATATAAATGCACGGTATATCGTTGCTGTACAAGATGGATATAAGATTCGTCTTGTAGAATTTTCGAGAAAGAATACAGTATCGGTAGAGTTTATTTACAGTAGGGCTAAGGTTGGGCTATGGATAAGTTGAATTCAATTAGTATGTTAACACTTTTATAATCTAATCACGTTAGCTGTAGTCTTGTTGGCTTAACAACTCGTCACAGTTTTAGAAATGTCTTAAACATCCACATTCGTATGCTGCTTATTCATGCAATTCACGGTAGGAATTCACCGATCTGAGCTATTATACGCGTATACTAGTAATACAATTGCTGCATAAATTCATAGATACAACCGAATTTAGACTGCCGACTAGTTTTATAGAATTATGGCATCTTGTACTTTGCCTACATGATAATTAGCAGTGAAACATGAATATGTAAAAGCTATTTAATATTATTATTAATCACTCATTATTTTTTGTAAATAGCTATACGAATAATGAATGTTCCTTTATCGCCTGGTGTAATAAATCTAAACCAGTTAACAATGTACTGGCAATTATATTGAACTTTATTGTATATAAACATGTTGTGAATACATGTCGAGTAGAAATTTAACCGTGAGTTAAATCGACTTACAACGAATGACACATAGTTCATTCATAAAGCAGGTCCACCAAGTCCACCAAAAAGTTATTCGTAATTTAAACTAATGTTAACAACGACACAATTATTCAAATCGAGTACAATATTACGCTTCATTATCATAAATATAGGCTATCGTACAGTACAATGTAACAGTTCGATGGGTTATCTCGCAGTATGGTATCATGTTTCAGAGTAGAAGATTTAATACAAGATAGCATTCAATAAATGTTTAAAGACACAAAATGCTAGCATATTTTGATGCCTACCAGGAACTTAAAGGAAGCATAGGATGATGAATTTACTGTTAATATGGTGGTTCCTATCTTGAGACAATCCAATGATTACCGGAAAGTATTCATGACGCCATTGCTATGGAGCTATTATATCATCAGCTACTGATAGTAAAGTTCCAAATTCATACCATCGCGTATTTCATCTGAGCGCAAAGGTTAAGGACTCAATACGTACGTAAAATATCATCAAGTAAATACCGCAATATAGACGCCGTCTACACTGAATAATCCTATTGTAGTAACGTTTAGCTTTACTATTACTGAGAAATTAATAAATCCAGATGCAAACTTGTTCATCGGTTATAATAAGGAAATAGATCAATCTATTCAGGTCAACACTGCTAGTGTAGATATACTCGTACAGTTACGTCAATTTTTATAAGCAATTATAGGAGAAACTGAAATTCTTACAGGTTGGAAATCTGTATGGTTCAATTAAGGCGTGTTTGTATCTTGTAGAGTAAAATTGCATTTACGTCATCAGTGACGATTTCACCAAGTTTCAGATTTACTCATTTTGACATTGAAATATTGTAATTCTTACAGACGTATATTTTACGTTTATTATAAAAGATACAATCACCTACAGTGATATGGTCCTTATAGATTGTATACCTAGAAATTTAGTAAAAGAGCGTATATAGCAATGAAAAGGGGTTAACGTAGTCAGTCTGGCAATATGCTCAACTTTAGGATCAATCTATCATTTCAAATACGTGACACTGCTTACTGAGTATGTGCGAAAGTGATCTACTAACCTATTTTGCTAGTCTATAATAGATAATCAATATATAGACTGGTCAAACAACTAACAACTTTCATAGCAGTGTCTATTTGTGCTGTGCGCTTTATCTGAAAATACTATACTATCAACAACATTTCAAAGTACAGTGCATCACTATACGAAAATCACTACAAGTACTCGATGGCAGTAATGTTACCATTTCTTAAGCATAATTTTGTCCCATTTTGTACCAGTTTGCGCCGCTATTAGCTTTTTCAAGTCACCAATTGTATCATTTTCACTATAGAATATAAGATTCAATATGTATGATAAGTTTATTGATGAGACACAGTGATTTTTAGGTCCATAATTATACAATAATTAGCTATGCAATCCATTTGTACTATTGAATAGCATTCATTTTGGCTAACATACTTGCACTTTACTCGTACTTTCTTGCCAAGTCGATCGTTGCAAATGATTTCAATCATGTTGAGTTGCAAAGTATTTAATTGTAAGCAAAGATATTGCGATGCCTTGTTCTGTTCTATAATGACCATAGGGAAGCATAGTATATTACATGAAAATGATGATGAAATGTACACATCATATTACGTCCATTTTAATCCACTTAAGCTGTACACTGTACAGTAGAATTTAGATGGCACTGTTACTGTTCCAACCTATTCTAGTGTTGTAATGTATATTCTTCAACTTGTATTCATAATCAAAGTTTCAATCGTGCAACAATACTGCATCTAACTATTAGAGTTGAAGTCAATAGCAATCTACCAACAGTATCGGAGTGAAAACTGCAATAAAACTTACTAAATGATGGATTGAAGATCGCAGCCACGTTGAGAGCAGGAAATGTTGTTCTTCTACTGTTTTGACTCCAGTCAGCTACAGTAGGCAGTAGTGCTCTAGTTAGGTCATTTACTACAGCGCATAGCACTGTCATGAGCAGTAGATAGCTGTAGTTGCTACGTTATTATGCTGTACATCCTGTATGGTGTTGTGCAGGACATAGGACTCGGACGGTAGGACGCCGTCCGAGTCCTGTTGCAAAGTGGTTCATCGTTGATACAGTAAGACGCGACTACAGACGTCAGTATGTCGTGACATAGTGTTGATTAGGCCAGTTGATAATACAGTAGTACTGTATGTCAGATAGAGTCCTGCTGTCCACTGTCCGCTAGGCAAGGTCCGCCTGTCCGAGGAGTGTGTTCCAAAGTGTACAATACATGGATAGAGTTTCTATAGAGATGCAGTCTACTGTCAGAGTTGTAGTGTACAATCCATCTCTCGATGCAGTTTCTATAGAGATCCACTATTCTCAGAGCTGCACGATCTCCTATATCATTTCTGCCTATCTCTACTATACTGTACAATACATGGATACAATTTCCATAGAGATACAGTATTCTCCCAGACGTTCTACCCAGTCTCCATCATTTCTCTCTAACTGGGCCTGGCCCGGCCCGGACCGGACCAGGCCAGTATAGTTTGATAAGCTTCATTGTACTGTACTGTACCGTACTGTACCGTACCGTTTCGCTTTATTCTCATTTGCATAATTTTCTCCATGCATGACGATTATCCGTCGATCCGTCCTATCCTGTCAAGTCATACTGTACCGTACCGTTCCGTACTAGTACTACAGTATGACACGGTTGGTCAGGCATGCTATAGCTTGTCTGCTGCTCTTTTGTACTATTATGCTAACACTGGTATACTGTATACACATTGGATAGTAGAGTAGTATTAGTATCGCAGGCATCAAAAGCATCTTCGTCAAGAGCCAATCAAGCAGCCATTCCACACCACCTTTGGATATTAATTGTAATTACTAATTACTCTTCTATCTAGTTTTGATACTTTCAGCCTTGCTAGTGGTTTACGATTGATATGTGGATATGCGATTCAAAGCTTTAGTTATTTGCATCCTTTGTACAGCTTGGATGGTTCATGGTCAAGAATGTCCTTATTTCGGTAAGATAAAGTCAATAGTATGAACAACAATTGTCCACCTATACATATACAAGTGGAGAGTAGGGAGAAAAAGCCATCGAAAATGCCCAATGGCGCTATTTCACGGCTTGATAAATGTTAATGTGATTGTTAATTTCGCTTTTGCAACATGGTATCCAGGTGGATGATGGCTTGTATAGTCGGATAACCATTGCTATTAGACTGATGGATCGATGACGAAAGGCAGTGGGGTAGATGAATACTTGCTACTTCAATTAATCATACGCTCGTCTACCGTATATTATTGTTGTTATTATCATCATCATCATCGTGAATAGCAACGAATCATGTTAACTTTCATGGCTGCCATATCGCCAGTCATAGAATCGAATAGGGGTGATGGATAGTGTTGTGTACACGTAGAGCCAACAACTACCAACAAGGGCTATCACTTCCAGCTTAATCGACACTCCAATCTTACTCTATCCTTAAACTTAACATACAACAGATAGCAGCGACTACCAAAAGGGAAAAAGGAGTCCCTGCGGACAGGGACCAATCCTACTTACGGAAATCAACTCAAATCGACATACTGTTGTTAGTCGCCCATTTCATTCTTGATTGCTAAACAACTCGTCAACCAATCCATTCGTTGCTGTAGTATGCTACTATGATAATGCTTGATCCAATAGCTTTTCATATTTGGTACTCAGTCAGCCGTCACTGTTGTGATTACTAGCCATCATTTCACATTTCCCTCTTAGCCATCAGTTCAATTGAACTTGATAACGTACTATTCAAGGCGATCATCAAAATCTTGCCTATGGAGTTCACAAAGTACAGCACATCAGTGCATCATGGCTAGAGTAGTGAATAATGCATACCATGTATCTGCCTTAAGGCCCTTATTCGAGTTTGCAGTCTACTGTACGCTGCTTCTGCAAGTATTTCTCCTATACTTTTGACTATCCATTGCAACGTCTTGTTTACTTGATACGGGGTCAAAAGTAGTCTAGTTATATAAAAAGAATGCAAACAAGGACAGGCTGGCATTAAAATAACTCAATCAACGCTGAGGAAGCTTGAAATATAGTAGTATTATCTCTGATCACTTTTGTCTTTACATACGAGCAAGATCAACCGCCATTGCAAAATAGACAAACAAGGCTGAACATCAATGACCATAGTACAGTAGTTACATGAAGTGATAGAGAACCATCATTTATTATATAATGATAGATAATCATCCAAAATGTCCTTCTTCTTTATGCCAACAACAGTGGCTTTGACCAATGTTGTACACTGCGGTTTTCAATCTGACGACGTAGCGTGCTACTCGTCCTACTGAATTAATTTCTCAACTACCGCACAACATTTACCATGGACTTGTAAGAAAATCCCTGACTAGACAGTGTACACCTATATCTTTTTCAACGTCTATACTAGCTAGCATTGGGTAAAGTTACTTTCTTGTAAAAGAGCCTACCCATCGCTTTAACATTACTAGTAATATACAATAGCGACGCTGTACAAAAGAGAGACTGGCAAAGGCTCTGAAATCGTTGCTAAAAAATGTTACAGGGTCTCTTGTGTACAATGATTAATCACTGCGATCTATTTCGCTTACCGTATAAATTTACAATTACGGAATTACGTGTAACTTAGTTGATACTAGAGAGCTATACGAGAAATAAAATAGGCATAGTATTGATTGATTTGACTTCTTTCTCCTACACCATGCACACGAGACTATCCTAAAGTATCAAAACTACTCACAATATTTCGTTTACCCCATCGCTGCTGATACTTCAACTATTACACTATCTTATCCAATTCGTTCTCAGTAATGTAGCTGTCTGTGTTGTGGTGTAGTGTCTGTCATAATGTACGAGTACATTGGCAGAGATAGTGATGACAACTTGATAAAGTGTATACGAAAGGAGCATGTGATTAATAGCAATCTCACGTATGCTGCGATATCCTTGCTTAATGAATCAGTAATGATATAAAGTGAAAGAGATATGTATAGTTAGTACAGTGAACACGCAAAGTATAACGAGCAAGGAATGGACTAGTACAGTATAAGAAATTAGGCAATAATAAAGACTTGTCAAAATGAACGCAATGTATTCAATAGTGACGGCACTTGATGTGTGGTTATACAAATGATAGCTTACCGAATATTGATCTAAATTGTGGTTCCATTTTACCTACTGTACTAGTATACTAATTTTAATAACTCTAACATACCATCATTGGTACACTTTATAACTTTCCAAGGTAATGCGAGAAAGCCGGAGACTCATGCGGGCCTTAGTCATTGCACCTGGTTTAGCAAAACATGTTGTCGCCGTACTGAAGTCACTTCCGTATTTAATAATATGCCAAGGTTAACTTCTGCTTCTGCTCCTTGCCAGCAACGTATGGAATACTTACGCTGTTATTTCTGTAGTCCCAATCAGGGAAATTGGTACAATCGAAGCGCTGGTCGATTTATAATTTGTAGTTCATTTTGTAACACCATTTTCAATCATTGCCGTACGGCAATTTACAACGGTACGTTATTTTCCTCTCTTTACCACAATGGGACTGAGTTTTGTACGGCGTTAAAATTTCGCACATCAACTCTGGGCTGCTACAGCTTTGATTCTAGCGTCTTTGGTGGTACTCGAAATATCGTACCATATCATTACTTGGTCTTTACCCTGGCAATGTTTACCTACTTATTTACGCTTTCAAGTTAAAATAATTGAATTATTATTATACGAATTAATGTATATTATAATTTGTGCCAGTATGGGAGATGCATTGATTCTTACCTAATGTAGAATATAAAATGACAGCAAGAAGTTTCTTTTACACCAGTAATATCAATTCGGATTGATGCGCTGGATCACTCTAATTCAATACTTGCTTAATCGGTAGTTCTTTCCGTCACATGATTACTATTTTAACAGCTGATTAAGGTAATAGTAAATATTATTAAAGACCGGACAATGAAATGATGATGAACCGGTTCGAAATCATAAGTGAAAGTAAGCATTTTAAATTAACTTGATTTTATTATAGCACTAGTTGCAGTTGATAGCGTAGTAGTACTACAGTACTCTTCCTCTCAAACTACATTTCTAATATATAGTTAAAATTTCTCTCCATGTACTATAATTGGTCTTTTATTTAAGCTATGCTTATTTATTCCGACGGAGATTTTTATGCTATGTATGTATTGTAATATTCCTGGATACTGCAGGAAATGAAAGTGGCGAGAGGTGTTTTCTATGCTGTGCAAGTTGGTCGAATCAACTCAAATTTTTTGCAATCATTTTTTAGGTGCAGACATGTATCGGGTTATATTTATTGAATAACTTGCTGTAATTTAGACGTGGTTAATTTTACTTCAGCTTAATCCAGAATTAATATATCTTTTCATTTTATTAACCGATACGACCGCTGTATTAACGAATTAATTGATTAATTACTCTCCTCCTGATGCGTACCTATGATGTATAGATTGTGCAGG